CATTCATTTGAGAAAATCATATCACCGGTAATAGTATTTAATTTTGATAAAATAAATACAATTCGATGAATTATTTCTTTAAGATATAGACAAGGTGATCGATCTACTTATAATTTTAATTCCGAAAAATAGAGTTACTGTTTAAATTTTGACAATCACTCTCTGCTTTACCATGATATAATTATTTTATTTATTTATTTAATTATTCATTAATAAATCAATTTATTCATTCATGAAATACGCTATTATTATTTTTTTCCTTCTACGTCTTAATAAATATTTCTTATATTGATGAAAAAGAATGGGATAAATCTTTATTTTCTCTTTTTCGGTTGATTTAATCTTTTAATTTTTTTATTAAGAAAACGAAAAAGAAACTCGGAATAGCTCAGTAGTTTCTTTATATAGTAAAGGTAAAAAGCGAGGGTTTCGAATATACACGATAAACGCAAATCACGCTACACGATACAACCTGATAAACGATCTACACGATAACGCAAAACACGATAAACGGAAAACACGACAGAAAAAGCTTAAACTGATAAACGGACAACACGATACGATAGGATACACGCACGATACGATAGGATACACCCACGATAAAACACGATAGAATTGTAAAGAATAACGATGCAGGTACTGTAAATTTAATCTAAGAGAGCTGTTCGGAAATTATTGAGATAATTACATTTACATTACTCCATAAAGGACGGAGGTAATTTCATGAAAATTCAGCTACATTTTATAAAGAATGAATAAAACGCTAATGCAAATTTTCTATTTCCTATGATAATAAGAAAAGTTTCGGTGAAATAATAATCATACATATGTCTATCGACCCGGAGCAGCATCACTACGTCATTTTATCGTCACGTCAGCCAGGGATGGTTTCGTATGTAAAACGATCGGGAAGCGTTTAATCTTTTTCCTTTATTGTTATTACATAAAACAGTACAAAAATCAAACAGTCTCTTTGTCTTAAACTATTCCTTAAGAATGTATGCTGTTGCTACCCGAGCGTAATATTTTCATTTGTGGAAAAAGAATAACTTAAAATCATGCAGTGCCTATTTATGAAACGCGGGTCAACGATATTCATACCGTAACGATATTAATGCCGTACGTAATAACTCATGGTTGTCCTGAGCTTTTAATTTTACTCCGGTTGAATTAATTATAAAAAAAAAAATGTATATCAATGAAATAACAAACTCTAACACATTATTTTTTTCTCGTTCATATTATTTTAGCAGGTCGTTTATTTTGGAAAAGAGTTCTATATTGCGCTACACGAAATCCATTTTTTTGTTCTGGTCAGATTTCTCTACCGCGCTTAATATCTTTCTGATCTCCATATTCCTGATCAAAATTCTGTCAAACTTGCACAACATGAATTTGAATTAAAGCTAAAAAATTATACATATAAAAAGAATTATTTTTGCTCTTATTATTGGTCCACGAAGAGTTAGAACGTGGGTGTTACATATTTTCAATATCTAATTTCGAGACTGCTCCGGGTACCCCTACTGATGACGCATTTATAGACCATTGTACAGAAAATATTTAATATTTGTAAAATATTTTTTGCTTTTATTAATTCTTAATGTATGTCAAACGTATATGCAAATTTTCACCGATGACGTTCATTAAAAAGCAAAATATACACAATGTCTCAATAATTTCCGAACAGCCCTCCTATGTCTGCATGTTTCAAGTATAAATCTACAAATTTATTTTATTTCACAAGGAAATTGCAATGGAAATATATGGAATCACTGTCTCTTTAGTATAGTATGACAGGGACATTAACAATAGTGGGAAACATGTGATAATTTATACATAACGGGCTTCACCCGTTATGCAAATTATCCAATGTTTACCACTTTTGTTGATGCCCTGGGATTCCATACTAACTAGACAATAGGCGCACTTGTTTCAGAAGCCGGGTCAAGCCGGTTAATATTCCGGAACCGGGCAAGTCACTTGTTTCAAATATATTTTTAGCCGCCGGGCGGTCAGAAAGTAGCCCGGATCGCCCGAAAAATATCGAGCGGCCAAATGAAAAGCAATATGGCGAATAACGGAGGTAGAAATGTTCTTGATGGTGAAACATTCGTTTTTTATCATTTGTCGTGGTCTCGGTGTCAATAAACATACACTACTGAGATAAAAAGAGACTTTTACAACATATTTGTTTATATTTGCAAGGCATTTTTTTTTTCAATTTTAAAGCTGCTTTCCAGTTTTGTGGGTAACTAGACACTATATGTACATTGAATGGAACTAGTAAATATTAAAACGAAATATAGCCACTAAATCCTTGTTCTCGTGCGTTCAGATAATTTTGATAATTTTTTTTGTACAGCAACAGCACCATGCAATACCAGCCAATCCGGCTTATTTTTCACTCGTTTCAGCGACACTAAAAGGGTCAATATGCCATGTGATAAAAGTGAACCGGGTCATCGCCCGGTTGTCTGAAACAAGTGCTCCCAGTGATTATTTAATTGCCCTACGGACCCTGTTTAACGGAAGAATTCGATCCGTGTATTCGTAATGTAGCAAAAGGAACACAGGCGATAACTCGTACCCAGTTCATAAATATGGCACGCCAAATTCACAAAAATGAGCTAAACATAATTTCACAGTCGATAAACTCTGTTTATCGGTTGTAAACTATAGTTTACGGACTGTAAACTATAGTTAACAATGTTAATCTATATTTTACATAAGTAAACCATATATAGTTTACGCGATAATCTATGTTTCACAGCCGTAAACTATACTTAACACCGAAAACAATCATTTGCGATTGCAAAACATAAATTATCTGATAAATACAGTTCTGTGATTTGTAAACTATTGTCTTACAAAAAGTTAAAAATAGTCAACGATCTGATAAATATAGTTTCACGATTTGTGAAACTATGATTAACAACTCTTAATATACTTATCGATCGAAAATTATAGGTTACAGACGTGACCCTATGTTTATCAACAAAATCTATTGTTAATCTCTTATAACAGAGAGATAAAATTATAGTTAGCAACCGTTAAATAAAGTTTTACAAATGAAAACTTTACTTAACGAATTGTTAACTAAAACACTGTAGTTTTCGGTCGATAACCGTAGTTTTACAATTGTGAAACTAGGTTTATTTCATCTTTGTGAATTTTGCGTGTCATACATTTTCTACGAACAATCCAGACAGTTCCGAGTGTAAACATAACAGGTAAATTGGGAGCGAGAGAAAAACGTTCAGATAACTAATTGGATTTGCGTCTTAATAGAGATTTATGGGGGATAAATGGTATATGCAATCTCAAAATGGTTTGCTTTGATACATTTGAAAGTTATTTCAAGTGCCAATCCTTTTTATATTCTACAAAATCGTGTCGGAGCGGATACGCTCTGATTTGCTATATTGCAAGAATGTCGGACGTATTCTAACTGTAATGAGGGTTTGTACGGAGACACAGTTAGATCAAGTAATGCATGCCAATGTTTGCATGATAAAGAAAATTCAACTTTTTTAATGTAACTATAGTTCACGTAATGTATAAATGGTTTAATAATAATATAAATACTTTATTTTAAAAGGGTAACCCGATTATTGCAAGCACTAGTCTTCCTCGGGGCCCTCTATAATGGATAGTAAAATATGAATACAACAGTACAATGAACAGAAAAAAACACAAGTATATTACATAGCTGAAATACATTTGAAAAAAAGTATATAATTATATTATCAAAACATAGAAGCAACTTACAAATTAATAATTTAATTCTAGTTGTAACAAGTCATTTGATTGGGTACACGATTTTATACATTTTGTACTGTATACAAGGAAATTTTCGCCCCTTTTGCAGTACCCTCTTTTGGGCGAATTGAAAGAATACAGTAGTATTTCTTAAACAAAACTAAAACTGGGTGAATTTAAAAAAGTGGCTTTTTTTTCAAGTGTGAAAGAGCAAAAATAACCCTGTGTACAGTATATAATATCTTGTCTACGTCACAATGAGTTACGTCAAAAACATATTACTCGTCTCGACGTTACTTTTAAGATATGCTCAATTTGAAGCCTATTTCCGGAGGAAAAAAATTCTCATTGTCTATAAAAATAATAATAATAATAATAATAATAAGTAATGATGCTAATTTAAACATATGTTATAGGACAACTTTGGGCAGTTTATAACGCATAAACTGACCCAAGCTATGTTATATCGTATAACATAAGTTCGAATTAGATTCATTCATTTATGAAATGTTGCATCCATTGATGATAAATGTTTCTAAATTTTTACAAAAGGATTCTACAGTTTGGGAAAATGTACATTTAGAGGTAATTGATTCCATAAATGAACCCCTGTATATTGAAAAGAATTTTTAAACAGATTTGTTCGATACGTTGGAAGAATTAAGTCATAATTGGATTCAGAACGTAAATATAATTTTTGGAGTCCTTACGATAATCAGGTAAAATACCATCAAGTGTTTTATTCATTAGTATGTATTAGTGATATGTATGTATGTTTGTATTTTTTCAAAAAAGGCCAGACAGAGTACCCCTTCTTTCTTTCCATCTCCTCTCTTCTGTCTTTTAAGTGAATGTTTATCTGTATTTATGCGTTAGTGACTGATTTAACCTATAACACCCAATACCCGTAGTCAGGTTGGGTTGTAGTGGTAATGTAAAATCTTGGCTTTTATTTGAAAACAAGTGTGAGATTTAAAGAAATTATCTGAGAAATGGTGCCGACAGGAAATCGGAAAATAATAATTAGAATAGCAATTAACATTACAGTCTCTATAATGCATTCCTTAAATGAACGTGCATAAAAACAATAATCATGTTCTCCCATTCTCATATAGGAAACATTGTGAGGCCTTAATTTGTTTCTACAATCCGCTCAAAAATTTCTGTTTAAATATCACCTTATCAATGTTTTTTAATTCGTAAATATGTCACAGGAATTCTTCATTAATTGGAAGGTTTTACATGTATTTGATTATCTTCACTTTACCACTGTGAAACTCAGCCACAAAGAGATTATCTTTGGTATCCACACTTAAACCCCATGGAAAGTATAGTTCGAAATTGTTAATAAGACAGAGGAATTTTCCGTGCTGATCTAGGATGACAATACGGTTGTTTGTACGGTCTGACGTCAGAATTTGACTTTGGCTGTCAGTTGTGATTCCAACTGGATCAAATAGTCCTGCAGTGAAAGAGCGAGAACCAGTGTATCTAAATCGGAAATTCCCTGCCTGATTAACCACGACTACTGCTTTGGCATGACAATCAGCTACACAGATATCAAGGTTCCTGTTCTCACTGATACATTTAATATAACCTGATGAATACAGAGGTTTACCTTCACTATCAAACTGAATTGTTTGTTTCTCTCTAGAGCCAGAGTAACGGACAACCCTTGACATTTTTTCATTATAACTGTCCATGGTGATCAAGAGGTCACCCGTAGTTGTTCCACAAATATTGCGAGGTTTCCATCCCTGAATTCTTATGGATTTCTGATTTTTTTCATTCTTAACTATGTTTACAGTTTCTGTTACAATATCAACATAAACTAAATCTCCATTTCTTGTCACTGATGTGTCAAATGGATTTTTTCCAGACTGGGTTTTGATTGACTTCAGTTCTTCACCCTGGAGGTTGTAGAGTTTCATAATATTGTCTTCTCCATGCGTCCAGATTTCATCATCATTGCGACAGGTAACTTTGTGTAGGAATTTTAATCTATACTTTGTTTGTATGCTGGTGATTAACATGGGTGTATCAAGTAACTTTTTGGCTGGTGGGAGTTTTTTTGTGTTGCCATCTGCTTCTTTTGTCATCTTCATTTTGTAGCCATCTGCTTCTTTTGTAATAGATATTGCAGACAGAGAACCTAGCGATTGATAGAGCTGTCCTGTATTTATTTGATGAGGAGAGAAACGTGGTAAGGTGACATTGAGTTTTGGAGGCAGACATCTAAATTCCTTATTCCTGGATTTATAAGCAGAGATTCGTGATACGTCAGTGGAGTAAAGTATTTTCCTCACGTCACAAATACTCTGTTTTACCTCAGACGTTATCTGTTTAATTTCATTTTCCTGTTCATTTAAAGCAACCAAGTGTTTATCTTTCATTTTATTTATTTCATATGTCTCTTTTTTAACAATTACGTTTAATTCGCTTTGCAAGTTTTTCTCTTGTTTGGTGACAGCTGTTGTCACATTTTCATAATGGCTTTCAAAGTTTGCTTTTTCATTGTTTAAATCTAATATTATTTCTTCATAAGCAGGATAAATTATTTTCTCTAGTTCTTCCAAGTCTTTTTCTAATTCTTTTCTCTTTGAACGTACTTTCTTCAAAATATCTGTAAATTCATGCCCATGATGTTTTTCAGAGGATTTGCAGGTAGAACAGACAGGGAGGTCACATTTTGCACAATGAAATTCACAATGTGTATCGGTGTGGTCAGGACATTTTGGATAGTAAGGAGCAGAAGATCTGTGCTTGTATGATACAACGTTGTGTCGTTTTGATGAATCAGATAGATGTTCCCCTACACAGGCCTTGCACAGATTAACCTGACAAAATTCACAATGACTCTGTAAAGCTGTTATTTTACACAGGTCACATTGGAGTAGTACTTGAGCTCTGTCCAGATTTTCCATAATATTCTTCTTCTCAAGCCACCAAAACTAAGAATAAAAGTTTGCCTTGAATAATGGTAGATGTTTCCATATAAAGGACAACTTACAACCACTCTTATACAAACATAACTGCCCAAAGTGAAGAAATATTCATAAAAAAAGCACAGAGAAACTCCCTTTTATAAGGATTCCAACTTCCGTCCCAGCCCGGGGTTGAACTATCGACCTGCAGAAACTGTTTCCTAGCGGTACAAGAAAAGCGAGTTAGACAACTCACTTGTTTAGGCAAGTCAACAAGCTTGCTTTCGATGAGATGGAAGTCTCATAACGTTGCCCTACACTACACAGTCATTGAGAATGGAAGTGAGATACCTATATTTAGACATTAGTTTTGTTAGAGGATAGTTACCAAAATACTAGTACTTTGTGATGATTCAATTTTATTGATAAAGTACAATAAACAACGAACGACTCATAATCCAACGTAGCTTCAATTAGTGAAGAAAAATTTAGATTCCATGTCAGTCATCATTGAGCTCGACCCTATATAAACATGGAAAGTTGAAATTTTCATTTTTTTTTGTGAACATGATGCATATGATAAGATTAGTGTTGGCAACGAGTACCCGGTTAACCGGTTAACCGTCGAACGATGCGAGTATCGGTTAGTTAAACTGCTATTCGGTTACTCGAACAAAATATATTTTTCTTAGTAAATACATATAAAATATTTTTTTAAATTATTTGTAAATGTATTTTGAAAAATTTCCCTTATTTAATTACCATAAGGCTTGCTCTAGTGGGTTGCAAATAGGATCGGAGTGTTTTGATTAGTTTAATTGATGACTTTAATTGCCAGGGGGTACGCGTTTTGAAAACCTGGAATTATAATTACCTCATTTAGACATATGTTACTCAGAGGGACTTTCTTTAGGAAGATGCCACCATAAATATCTAAAGCGTAGAAATATTGTTAAAGAACGGCTGACTCGAAATGGTTCACCCTCGAAATCTGTTAGAAGCAACTTATTGTGAATCAAAGTATACGGGTGGACCTACAAATATTCTAAATCACCTTTGATTGAACATATTTCGGACAATGATAAACCCGGCTATCCATTTCCGCTCGACGAACGCATTTTCTCAATGACAGAAAAAATTATCACAAAGTTGCAAAATCGTTTGTCCTCATTCGTTGATAAATTAAATTATTTTCTCAAACATAAAAAGACTGCCTAGCTGTTTCAAGTAACATTTAAATACAATATTCCTCGAAAATATTGTGTGTGGGTTTCTTTGAGTTTGTATTCATATAATATTCATAAACATTACATCTGTGGTTTATTTCTACCAAAAAGTAAAATGATGAGATTAATAATAAAAACGGAGACATAAAAAATCATCCGAGTAACCGGTTAATCGATCGGAAGATTAAGCGAGTAACCGGTTACTACCGGTTACTTTGCCAACACTATATAAGATATATAGCCTCTCGTTCCCATGGCAAACAGAGCATTTTGCCATGGGAATCAGAGAAATATTTGGACTGGCTTATCCTGTTATAATTCATATATTTGACATTAAAGCCCCTTGTATTTTTTATAATGTTTATCATTTTGTTAACTAAGACTTTATTTTAGAACATCTACTCCAAAATATATGGTTTACGTTACGGTGAGCTTGGTAGATATCCACTGAGTGTAAATATCAAAATGAGAGTGATAAAATTCTGGGTAAAACTGTTAAACTGTAAAGAAACAAAGATATGTCGTATCTTATATATATAATTGTAGTTTTGGAATGGATTGAATATATGAAATGGATAGTAATGGATTGAATATATACAAAATGATGTACAAGAATATTTTTTGAATTATGTCTGGATGACTCAAAATGTAGAAAATGAAAAACGGTTGTAATTAAGCAAACAAATGATTTGTTCACTAAAGGTAACTTTACATCCAGACAGTATTTAAAAATCAATGTGCCATATACTATTATTATATTAGCAAGATTTAGAACCAGTAATCATAAATTACGAATAGAAAAAGGTCGATGGAATAACATACCCTCAAATTAAAGACTATGTACTTTATGTAATAATGATTTAAGGGACAAATTCCCACATATTATGTCGTGTCCAGCTCTAAATGATAGTAGAAATCTGTAATTCTCATCAACACATACAATTCGACCAAGTGTTCTTAAGTTTTAAAATTTATTTTCATTTAAATAAAGTATCCTATTAATAAGACTTGTAAATTCGTTAATATAGTTAATAAGAGAGTTACCCATCAAGGTTAATGTCTGCTTTACAAATAATAAAGTTTTTAGTCCGAATAATATGTAATCTAAAACAATAGAATTCAACTAGTTAAACTATGTAAATCTATTTGGTCTATTATTGAGAGAGCTGGTTGCTTGATTTATGACACTGACATGTCATTATTGATTATTTTTTCCTCACGTATGCTGTATTTTATTTTATCACATATTTCTACCTTTATCCCGTTGATATAGCTCATGTGATATCGTTTTCGTATCAACACTATGTACTCCTACGCCGCGTGACGCAATGTAAATAAACAAATACATTTGTATGATGGAGACAATGTCTTAATTTGTCAAATTTCACTTTATTTGATATAATTATAATAACAAATTATCATTCATGAATTAAAAAATATGTCCTAAAATACTTTCTTTCCTTTGTTTTTGTATGAACTATTTCATACTACGGAATATTATTTATTACGTTATTTTGTCATTGAATTAGAAATAAAGATAATATACACATTTAAAGTGAATAAAAATATGTGATAAAAAGGATCTCCCATGGTATGTGGTTTGATATGATTTTTATCCAACGAGTTGTGTGTTTTTCTATCCCCTCGCCAAGGCTCGGGGATAGAAAACGCACAACTCGTTGGATAAAAATCATATCAAACCACAAACCATAGGAGATCCTATATGTATTTTATATAATTTATGTCTGTATTTTCTCTATACTATTGTGTAGTTTTGAGAAAATAAATTATTGAATTGAATAACTACTGTAATAAAGAGCAACATGTGTTTATGGCCGGTTATGTTTAATTCTGCAGTTTTAAATTCAATAAAAGATAGATACATGCTAATAATCATATTTAAAACTAGATGCGATCACGTTGCGAGCAACGAGTGGATCTTCCGTTTGATTCTTGATGAGATGAGATAAAATTTTGATTGAGATTTTTTAAAAAAAAATAATTATATATTGTTTAGAAGAAAAGATTATGTCGTTATGTTTTTTTTAAAAATATTGAACGTTAAATAATCAGAAATTCGAATTCTGGGCCCTCTTGACCCCTTCTATGAGAGGCCAACCCCCCCTTTTTGTATAAAATCATCTTAAAGTTCTCGTGCGTTCGCTTCCTGATTGGGAGGCCCGGTTTGGATTCTCATCTGCGGCGCCACGTCATACCTAAGACGTTAACAAAGGTAGTGTTCCGTCGCCACACACTCGGCACTAGAAGTGAAAGTCACGGATATGACCTTAAAAACGTAGGTACCGTGTCACGGTAGGTGCTGGCAATATAAAAAACCCTCACTCCTCAAATACCCTAAGTGCCGAGTATTGGTCTAAATTTGAGACCCTTCAATGGCATACGGTGACGTCTCCATATAAGTGAAAGATTCTTAAACAATATACAAACAATCAAGCGTTTTCGAGTTATTAGCAAAGAATTTTTTGGGGGGACCAACACTTCAACTTTTAAATGGCAACGTTTAGCGAAAAAGTAACGGTTGCATATTGTTTAGTACATTATTTCAAACATCTTTTGTTCAATTTTACTTATCAAAATATGTTTCCAACTTTTGAGTTATAAAGTGTAATAGACTTAGCATTCCGATCCCTTGTCGCCCCTTATTACGTACCATAGGACACAAAATTACAATATGTGGTTGTAGATGTTTGAGATAAACATCTTTGCTTCAGAAATGTATTGCAAAATATTAACTGATAAAGATTTTTTTATCTAAAATTTTTGGACCTTAATGGCCACTTATGTAATTGCCTAGACCCCTTTTATGGTTTTTACCTTAGAGCTTTCAGGATTTTGAAAACCTTTTGTTCAACAACTGTTTAGAGATTCATTTTCGTTTTTGAGTTTTTAGCAAAAGATGTATGGCTCAACAAGGATATACGGATAAGTTGTCCCGATAGAAATATTTTCATACGCCAAATTTGAATAAATGCACCTTGCTTTATAATCGGATTCGTGCGCCAAATTCGAATTAATGCGCGTTGTTGGATAATGAAAAGGAAATAACAAGATGTTTTCCAGCATAAGACGGGTAGACAGGTCGACGAGTCGACTGGTTGACAGATCGACGGGTTGACAGGTAGACGGGTAGACAGGTGGGCTGGTTGACAGGTAGACGGGTAGATAGGTCGACGGGTAGACAGGCAGACAGGTTGACAGGTCGACAGGTTGACAAGTCGACGGGTAGACGGGTCGGCGGGCCGACTGATTGACCCCTAGGTTGGATACAGGAACAGCCCTAGTCTATTTTATCTGATAACTAACCCAGGTGGGTTTTTGGACTAAATCTCATCTGTCAGGTGGGTCCTGGAACTAACCTTAATCTCTCAGGTGGGTTCTGGAACTAACCCTAATCTCTCAGGTGGATTCGAGAACTAACCCTTATCTCTCAGGTGGATTCGAAAACTAGCCTTAATCTCTCAAGTGGTTTTGAAAGTAACCCTAATCTCTCAGAGGTTCATGTACTAAATCTAATCTCTTAGCCGGGTTTGAATACTAACCATTATCTCTCAAGTGGATTGAAAACTAACCCTAATATCTCAGATGGGTTTGAAAATTAATAAGAGGTGTCAACTGTCGACCTGTCGACCTTTGAGGTCGACCTTCATGACGACATTGTAGGTTAACCAAAAAGAGGTGTCAACTTTCGACCTGTCGGCTTTTGTAGTGACACTGTTGATTAGAAGAGATGTCAACTGTCGACCTGTTGACCCT